CTAAATATTTGAAATGACAGTTTCAAAACTTGTCATCAACAAGTTAAAAGCCTGGGAAATTAAAACAGTTATAATGATTCATATGAAAGAAAACCCAGGAAGAATAAGAATTGAGATTACTATGTCAATAGAGATTCCCTATGAAGGTTTTTTTTTTTTTTTTTTTTGAGACAGGGTCTTACTCTGTCACCCAGGCTGGAGTGCAGTGGTGTGATCATGGCTCACAGCCTCGACAACCTGAGTTCAAGCAATCCTCCCACCTCAGCGTCCCAAGTAGCTGGAGCCAGAAGTGTGCACCACCAAGCCCAACTAATTTTTCTATTATTTGTAGAAATGGGGTTTGCTATGTTGCCCAGGGTGGTCTTCAACTCCTGAGCTCAGGCTACCCTCTCAGCCTCCCATAGGTGTGAGTCACCATGCCCAGCCCTCTAGAAAGACTTCATTGTATCGTAACAATCATTTGGAAAGGACTATAGTTACACGTAATAGCCATGAAAATAATATTCTTGCGAATCATTTGATTTCATTTATAAAGGCTAAAATGTAGAAAATAAGTATTTTTAGTCTTCCGCAAATATTTCAAAGCAGACGTACCTGTAGATTGTTTTGAAAGCATTTGTTGTTTTTTTTCTCCCAATGTCTGATCATTAAAAGCGGCATTTATGGTTTGTGAACACAATGAATGGTATGCTTTTTGGAAGAGTCAAAAATCCTAACTGATCATGGAAAGAAAACTCTAAAGTTGGCAGAAAAGGGAAAGCAAAGACTTTTTTTGAAACTTAAAAAAAAAAAAAAACAAACAACAATGCTTTTAAGAGTTCAGCCCTGTTAATACATTTTCTCTGATCTCTTATAGTTTAATAAAGGTTTCTAGATTATACAAAACACTGCCTGATCAGAAACAGACACATGATCTCCACTGACCCATGTGTGATGACTTTCTGCTAGGTCTGTTCTAGATCTACTTCTCTTCTCCACATGCTCCTCCTGGGTGACCTTACCCACTTCCCTGTCTCTGCCTGCCGTCCTTCCAGGGAGGATTCCCAAGCCCTTTGTTGTTAGCGGAGACCCCCTGTGCAGCTTCTCACGCCTACTGGCTATCTCTGTTCTGACGCCATCCCGACATTTCAAACACCTCCATCCCTCTCGTCTGGGGGATGTAGTTACAGGGAAATCGCTGGGGACGAGGTCCGAGGTCCATGAGGGTGAGTGGGAGCCAAAGCCAGACACCAGCAGGTGATGAAGTGATGAGGAGAAAAGGAAATGGTAGAGGCTTCTTTGGCCATTTGCCCTTTTACTGTGCATGAATGAAGGTGCATTTTAATTTCTACCCTACTGTCAAGGCAGGCACACACGCCATCATTTACGAATTTCTATTACTTTGACATTCCAGGTCTTCAAGCTATTTCCTCTCCCTCTTCCCAAGTGAGCATTTCCAACACAGAAGGGTAGGTCGGGTAGCTTTATGCAGCCTCTGTCTTCTGGAAGAAGAGCTATCATAAACCTCAACTGCAAAAAGAAGGCTGGGGCACTGAATTCTTCCTCAGGGCAACAGTGCAGACAATTCTAATGTTTACACCGAGTAAAACAGTAATAAAGACTGCATTCTATGTACAAGTTATACAAATATGTATATTTGAAAATATGAACAAAAATGTTCAAGCTCTTCAAACAGAAGAAATACAAATTGGTTGTTTTGCCAACTAAGTATGGAACCAAATATCTTACACTATTTTAGAAAAAAAAGTCTAGTTTTAGAATCAACTGTTTTAGCACGATATTTAACTCTGAAACAATGTTTTTTGTCAAGCTAGTAACTTTTTCCTCATTCATTTTCATAATTAATGGGATTAATACGACTTTTTGATAATACTCCCTTAAAGGAAAGGAGAAAGATGAATTCCCAAACGTTTAGTGTGGCACAGTCGTTAGAAATGTGCACTCTGGGGCTGGTGACCGCAGGCTCAAACCCTGGCGCTGTCACTTCGTAACTGTAGGACCCTGGATGAAGTTACTAAACTTGTCAGTTAAGCAACTTCATCCACTGGAAGTAATAACAGCACTGATCTCATCTGGTGACTGTAAGGATTACATGACATAATTCATGTAAAATTTAAAACGGTCTGGCATACAGTTTGTACCCAACCAGTGCCAGTTATTCCTTTCTTGAAGCCCACCTCCTAGGGAGACGGCTTAAGGAATGATGGCTACATGTCATATTAGATTCAGGATACAACAAGCATCCTGGCAGAGTCCTAGAAAAATGAGTTCTCATTCAAACCAATTCTACATTCTCTTTTCACAAAAAGCTACACCAATAAAGGGGCTAAACATGTTTTTGGTGAGGAGGGCAGTGAACTGTGGTTCATGCCATGGGTTTCTGGAAAGTATGCTAAGTCCTGTAGGGGAAAGGAAGATAGGTAAATTAACGTCCTGCTTCGCAGGAACCGTTACAGCTACAGGAAGTGAAATACACGTGGCTTTCCTTTCTGCGTGCCCTTGTTTTATAATTTAGGCTTCAGCAGCAACCACACCATTAGCTGTAACTGTCCTTGTTGGCAGCGTCGACTGTCACAGCAGACCAAGCCTTTGTTGACTACACCTGAATAAATCAAAATGAAGGAAGGAAAAAACCCTGCTGGTGGTAGTCCCAAGGAACTTGTGAAGAAAGTAAAAACGGAGCCTCCGACATGGGGTGGTGATATCATCCTGTCCCCAGATCCCACTCAGGGGCTGGCCTACTGTGTGATGCTGAAGAGTATGTGTGGCTCTGTACACGCTCTGGTATTTCCTCCGAGGAGGAAATCTGAATAAAATTTAGCCTCTGAGCTTCTCATCAGCTAAAGACCTGCTGAGTCTTCAGCACCTGGAGAAACATTCACTCATGGCAGTATGAAAGTCGACAGTCAGTTTCTGCCTCTTCTGGGCAAAGCTGGTGCCTTAGAAGGGGTTTACATGAAGGTTGAGTTCTCAGAATGTACATTCACTGATGCACAGTACAAGGGCAAATGGCCAAAGAAGCTTCCACCATTTCCTTCTCTCCTCCTCACCTGCTGCAATCTGGCTCTGGCCCCCACCCACCCTCACTGACCAGGTCTCCAGCAACTTCCCTGTGGGATGTCCCCAGGCAACTCTCTGTCCTTATCCTACCTGGCCTCGCGGAAGCATCCGACGCTGAAGTTCATTTCCTCTGGTTCCTGGGACATTACTAGAGTGAAAGTTTCATGAGGATGGGGACTGCCTCTGCCTTGTTCCCCGAGACATTTTTTACAATGCTTGGCAGAGTGTGTGCTCATCAAACACGCTCAATCAATTATCTGAGCGACTGACCCAGTGTCTCCTGGCTCCTGCAAAGCATGACATTCCGCTGGGCTTGTTCTAGCTGTGCTTCTGTTATCCACACGCTCCTCCTGGGTGACCTCACCCACTTCCCTGTCTCTGCCGACCGTCCTTCCAGGGAGGTTTCCCATGCTGTTTTTTCAGCTGAGAGTCCCTGTGCACCTCCTGTGACGCTGCAATGACATTTCAGACTCCACCTCCTCCTGCTCTTGTTTGCAATTTCAGGGAGCAGAATGAATGCCTACGCATCTGCCTAAACCAGAAACTTGTTGGTCATCCTTAAACCCCTCCCTCTATGCACACTCCCTGGCACCTCTGGCATTCAATCCCTCAGTTCAGTTCTGTAGACTGGTCTTCCCAAATCTCTCTGTTATCCGTCTATCTCCACCACACCCCAGCTCAGGCTAGCATCTTCTTGGGTTAATTCATCAGCCTCTCTGACAGGTCTGGCTTCCTTCCATCCGTGGCCTCCTTTCTCCCTGCAGCAAATGCACCAAATGCTCCCCACCCGGACTCTCATGCCCTTGCATCTGCTGCTCTTCTTCTAACTCCTATTGATCCTTCAGGTTTCCAGATATCACCTCCTCCGGGAAGCCCTTCCCTGACCCTGCCCAGCCTGAGCCAGGTGCCCCTGCTTTGTGCTCTAGAGCTCCCTGAGTATTCCATCCGAGTGTTCACCCCATAACATCATTTCCTATTTGAGGTCTGCATCCCCTGCCAGAGCTGCCTGTGGGGCTTGTTATTTTAGCCCCTGAAGCTAGGATAGTAACCATGAAAATATTCACAAACACCTCTGAATGAACAAATGAAAGTACATTTGCAAATTTATAAAATTCAACTGGGAATTGCTATCATTCTAAAAGTAACAAACAACAACCTTGAGCTCTGATTTCAAATGGAATAGTTAAGAAAAAGGCACTTCCCAAGGTGACAGGCAGGCATAACTAAGAGTACAGATGTACCCTTTATATAAGCGTGTGCTGATTTGGGTTAGTTTAGGTGTACATCCAGGAAGCTACTTCCTAAACTCCTATTCAAACCAATCCTTCAAGCTGACTATGTCTATAATCTTGCATAGTAAACTAAATGTCGTTCAAATACTACGTAAGATCCATTAAGACAGGAAAGGAAAAAGAGACGTGGTCGTCTTATCCCCAATTTTTTTTAAGAAAAAAGTATTCTAATCATGTCTAATAGTTGGAAAGGAGTTTGAGGTTCATCCAAGCCAATATTCTACAGGTGAGAAAGCAGACTATGAGATGCAAAGAAACATATTCAGGGTCACATCCCGTTTGGTATCGGTGAGGCGGCGTTAGGACCTGGTTCCCTAACCTGCAGGAATAGACTCTCAGCTGTCACTGCCATTTTTGATTATAAGTTTACTACACAGGTGGCTGTGTTTTTCAAGAGCAAGCTTCATGTAGAATGTTCCCTCCAAGCATGCTTACAACAAATAACTTTCATTTTTCAACGATTTGATAAACAGAAATAAAGTAAAACTCTCATCAGGTCAATCAAGTGTTTCTTGCTGGTGGCAGCAGACAGGGGAATGGAAGAATCGCAATGGCAGGGGTGGCAGACTAGGAAGAAAGAATAAATGTGATCGGGCCTGCGTGAGCGTGCCCCGGGGGAAGGGGGGAGACATACAGCAAGGTACTTACCTTTTCTTTGTCACTAGCTTCTCTAGCCACTGTAGAGCCCTGAAACACAAGGAAATAATAAAAACATACATATGGGAGGCACTGGGTTCACACATGGAAAATATGAGAATGGGCGAGGCAGGGCAGAGAGCCAGCTCAGTACCCACTCTGCCTCGCAGCCCACACGGAACGGGCTTCTCACCCCTCCCAGACCGTGGCTCGCAGCCAGGCCTGTCTCCCCTCACTGCAGGTATTCCTGGCCACTGGCCACTTCTCCAGCCCTGACTGTGTCATGCTCATCTGTGTTTCTGTGGTTCTTGTCCACCTGCTGGAAGTCAGAAAACCTGACCACCACTTGAGCAACAACTTAACACTGGATCAGCCCCATACTTTCCTCCTTTATCAAATGGCAGAAATAGTTGGTCTTGTTATCCTAAAGAAGAGTCCCACTAGCTGGCTGCGGTGGAACCATGGGGGTGTTAAGAGCCTCTTTCCCCACATCACGTCTTCCAGACGTGGGCACATCTTCGCCTGCTGTTTTTTCTGTAACACAGTTTTCTCCCCTGTCTTAGAGTTACTGATGAATACTCTTTCCTCACATGCTATATATCAGTCCCCCATCGCCACTCTCTGACCCCATTTACTTTGGAGAGTCCTTCAAAGACACATGGTTATTTGTAACTCTTTTGTGCCAAGCCCTATGCTGAGTGCAGAGGTACAAAGTGGAGGAAAACACGGCCCTTGATCTCAGCAGTTTGTGCTCTACTGCAGTGGGGTTCAAAACTCTGCCTCAGAGTTCTGGGTTGTCTAAGATGACCTGAGTCTACCTCGGAGGCGGATGGGAGCCTTTAGGTGTAGAGTCCAAGCAGAGAAACTTCCCTTAGCTTGTGGAAGATTTTAATTCAAAAGAAAAGCTGGGAAACAAACGGTCTAGTGAATTCCTAAGAATGGATGACAATCACAGTGTCTCATACACAGCAGATGTTCTATATTTACTGTATAAATGGCTAGAGAAGAATTACAGAACAATTTCCTGGGTTAACATCCCGTCCTGCACTGGACACCCCTAACTACCATGAAGTCAGCCAAGCCACTTGCTTCTTGAACACCTAATGAATAGACATCTATTGCCCTGGATCACCTGAGTTAGCCATTCATTAAATGAACTTACAGTTGACCTGGGAAAAGCAAAAGTGCCCTTTAGATTGGCCATCTGCAGAGAAATCAAAAATTTTGATTACTGGCTTTCATTGAGCAGCTCAGGCATTGATTAGGATGTATGCTGCCTGTAATTCACAGATGTGGAAACTTGAAAGGAAGAGACTCCCCGCACTGGGGAAGGGAACCAAGACCAGGCTGGGGGTCTCCCCAGGGCTGATCTTCCATCTCCTTGGTGCTCAGTGTTCCCAGGACTGGAAGATCCGAGGGACCCTGCTGCTGGCCCAGGGAAAATGTTCAGTGTTTCTTGGGGAGAGTCAGAGCAGCACAAAGCTGACCCATCAGATGGAGATGGATAATGTGAACCATTCATGAAGGCAAACCTGAGAACCCATTCTACGACCACAGCCTGCGCCCCCTCATAGCCTCGCCCAGCAGCTGTTACTTGCCATGGTCTACTTTCCTTCCTTTAGGGATTCTTGTATATGGGCCACAAATACCTTCCTTTCTTTACACATCAAATTTTAACAAAGAATGTTCCCAAATTTTTTTTAAAAATTGGGACATTTGTAATATTTGAGTACTGCTTACGCTGCTGGGCAGAGGAAGAAGCTATTCTACTTTGCATTCTTAACTAAGTTGTTGAGGGGTGGGTGGGTAGGTGTGTGTGTATGTGCATGTGTTTTCCCTCCTACCATATAATCCACGCTGCTTCTGATTCTCAGGGAAGCTTCATCTTTATGTAAATGCTCATCATTAGCTTGGGAACAACAAAACACAAAACTCATCCAAGTTTAAATTAATTCAGAATAAAAAAATTCTAACAAAACTAGAAAAGGAAGGCCAAAAGTTTAAGCCATGAAATGAACAGGTTCCATCACGACTGAGAGCACTGGCAAGAACAGAGCTTAGCTATGCCACAAGCCAGAGAGAGAGATGAAATTGTGAAATGCAAGGCAAATGAAAACTAGAATATCCAATCTCCAAGTATAATTTACTCCAAGATATGTTTACCAGATGCCTACTTGTCCGAGGTACTATCTTAGTCACTGCAGGGGGATTAAAAAAAAGTTAGAACAAAATACTTCCTCTTGAGGCACTTACACATCAGGAGAATGAATGAGGCAACCAATATTCACTGACTAACTCCCATTCACCATGCCTCATGCTGGACATGACACATATGTATCTTATTTAATCCTCGAAACATCCCTGCAAATGTAGGTAAAATCATCCCTGTTTTAACAGATGAAGAGACAGAAGGTCACAGAGGTTCAGCAACTTATACCAGGTTAACGAGTCATGAAAGAAGAACATGTGACTTCAGAGGTCACTCTGGCTTTCTTCCCTGGGAGAGTCAGACAGAGTCCTGTGTGCCCTGAGCAGTACCGCCAAGGCTTCAAGAAAAAGCTGGTACTGGCAAGGGCCATTGAGGGTGGCTGGGATTTCCCCAGGGGCAATTCCAGGGGCACAAAATGGGTTGGGCTAAGACTTGGAGGTAGGACAGGACAAGGCTGTGTTTGGGAAGTGGTTCCAGTGGGTTGGGACGCCAGAGGGTAGGAGACAAGCCTAGCTCATTTCCTTCACTTAGACTAGCATTTCTCCAAGTGTGGTTCAAAACCCTGGGGTCCCGAAATGAAAACTATTCAAAGCCAAAACTATTTTTATAATAGTACTGAGACATTTTTTGCCTTTTTGACTGTCTTGATATTTGTAGGAATACTGCAAAAACGATGGTGGAAAGAACTGCTAGCAGTCAAGCGTAAATCAAACGGAGGCACCAATAAGCACTAGTAGTGGAAACCCAGCGTCATGCAGAACAACCTCTGAAGCCATACATCCTTGTTTTTATGACTTGTGAGCCGTGTATGACTTGCTGAACCTATGGCTAAGACGGTATCTCCTACAAGTAGGCATCTAGTAAACATATGAAAGCATCAAATTAAATGTATCAAATCTAGACCCAGGAGGACATGTCTTTTCAATATTCTGTGCAGGAAGTATACATAAAGTACTTCTGTTTATAAAGAAGGAATGGCTTCTTAACAACTGTTTTCGTGATGGTTTGAGTTATGAGCTGAACTAGCCACCGTTTTCATGAAACAACACTTTTACTTGAAAGAACAACTGACAGTCCATGTTTATCCAGATCTGGGCATCTCACAGATGTTTGCTACAAAATGAACAAAGCTGCTAGGCTTGCCTATGTGCTGGGGTGCTTGATACATGCTGTCATTTCACAGACAACAACTGACGGGGCTTGTTGCCAGTGATAAAATTTGAGATTCCCAGTAAAAAACTGATTTTTAAAAAACTTACATCCACCACCCTGGGCTTGACAGCTTCCCAATATGTAGAAGACTTTTCTGATGACATTGGTGGTGACAGTGTTATGACTTTTTGATAGTGTATAATGAAATTTGCCAATATTTGGAAGAGTCACATAACTCAGTAAACCAATATGTTCCAAATGGCAAGTGCATGCCTTGACAAAGTCACACATTCAGAACAATGCATGCAAACTAATCAATGGATTTTGATGAAGAGTACAACAAATTCATTGATGTGATTTCAGATTCCATAATGTCACACTAAGCTTTGAGAAATTACCTCTTGTCAAGCCTTGGTATAGTATCGAAGAGTATCTACGATTATCCAAAAACGTTAAAACATGCCTGTCCCACCTTCCAGACTTCATCATTCGTATAAGTTCAGATCTTCTTCACATACTTCAATGGCATAACACCGCACAGACTGACAGCAGAATCAGATGTGACATTCCAACTGTCTCACATTAAGTCAGACATTATGGAGATTTGCAAAACAGTAAAACAATGCTACTTGTCTCACAATGTTTTTGCTTTTGGAAAATAGTTATTTTTCATAAAAATGTTAACATGTAATGGTTTTCTCATTTTTAAAAATACATATTCTAATTATTTCTTATATTAATTTTTTATACTGTAAGTATCCACAGACACAACTCACATCTGCAAAAGCTTCTGAGGGTCCTCTTTTAAGAGTGTGAAAGGGTTGAGACCAAAAAACTTGAGAGCCAAATGTCACAGACCAGAGTTTGGCAAACTTTTTCTGCAAAGTGCCAGAGGGTAAATATTTTAGGCTTTGTGGTCCCAAATCGTATCTGTGGTAACTACTCGACTCTGCGACTGTAGTGCAAAAGCAGCAACAGACAATACAGAAGCAATGGGCATGGCGGTTTTGCAATAAAAATGCATTTATAAAATTGGCCCAGCCAGGCGCACTGGCACATTCCTATAAACCCAGCACTTTGGAAGGCTGAGGTGGGTGGACTGCTTGAGCTCAGGAGTTCAAGACCGGCCTGGGTAACATGGTGAAATCCCGTCTCCACCAAAAAATACAAAAAATCAGCTGAGCATGGTGACGCATGCCAATGGTCCCAGCTACTTGGGAGGCTGAGGTGGGAGGACTGCTTGAGCCAGCGAGGGTGGGGGTTGCCATGAGCCAGGACTGCACCACTGCACTCCAGCCTGGGCAACAGAGGAAGACTCTTGTCTCAAAGAAAAGGTCCTCAAGTTGGATTTGGCATGGGCAAGTCAGAGTTTGCCAACTCCTAACTTGGACATTCTCCCCTGAGGTGGTGATGTCAGAAGCCGGATCACGTCACTCCACTCTCAGAATTTCCAGGGGGCCCCCTTTCCCTCCAGGCCTTTGAAATGGTCTCTGTACTCACTGTTCCCTCTGCAAGCAACATTCTTCCTCAGCTCATTTCCTCATCTCCTTTAAGTCTGCTCCAATATCATCTTCTCAGGGGAACCTTCTTTGATAGTCTATTACTTTTACTTACTGCTGTCTTTACCCACTAGAATGTCAGCTCCCTGAGGGCAGGTTTGGTTTGTTCATCCTGTTATTTCCAGCACCTCTTAGAACAGGGCCTGGTATGTAGTTGGTTGAATATTTAAGTAGATGTGATTCTCTAACACACGCAAGTTTTTTTGGTGAAGCCAGCAAGCACTGATTGCCTCACTGGAAGAGGAATACACTGCCACCTGCCTGGTAGCTTTCAGCGCTGAGTGAGTCTTAAGCATTTTTGGTATCAATGACAATCTTTATAGTGTAGAACAAGCTTGAGTTACTTTACAAAAACTAATAAAATCAATCTCACCTTTAAGTCGTATTTTCTATACACAGACAAACGGTGGCTGAACACATTTCTTGTAACAATCACATATATTTCAACTCCATCAACATTAAGCCGATACATGCCCAAGAACTGAGGAAGAAGAGTGATCCCATGACATTCCACTATGTACTGCATAGGAGAGAAAGAAAAAGGAAAAAATCCAATGAAAAGACTGCTTCCTTAGACGTAAACTACATACAACTATGGTGTTTATACAAGGTGAAAACCTCCAGCCATTAGGGTCCTAGTTACAGAAAATGGCCACATTTGTACTGCTTACCAACCACATCTGTGTTCACCATCTCTACATAGACAAGAATATTCAATTTTATCTCCAAATAGACGTTTTCCCCCCAACGTTCCAAATGAATTTGTAAGGTCAAACCTTGGATACAGTAGTGTAAGGCAAGAGGACATGTGATTGTCTGTCTCAAATTACTTTTAAGGGATACTGTACTCCACCTAGCGACTCTGTCTATCCCCAAAGCCCTGACTCAGGGTTGTGGCAGAGCGACATGGCCGTGGCCGTTCAGATCAGCTTCTCTAACAGCGTTAAAGACGAGATTAAAGAGGAAATTGTGGAGAGCCCAGTGTTAGAAGCTAGGAGGGCTGAGCTAAGCTTCCCACAGAGCAGGGAGAAAGGGGCAACCCCTGCCACCACAGCACCCTCACTACTGCTCTACTGGCAGATGCGGACTGCCTGGTCCCTGCTGGTTTCCACTAAGTTTACTGGACAAGCCGCAGGGTTGACACCATTTCCAAGGGAAGTTGCAAAAACACAACACGACCTTGGCTGTCTTTCATGACCACACTCCAGAGGGCCACAAGATGGAGCCACTTCTCCCTGAGAGCAGATTTTCATAAAACAGGGGTCCCTCTGCACTTCCCAAAGGAAGTTTAGGTTTTCCTTCCTTTAAAATGAAGGGGAAGGATTATTTCAAAAATATTCTCCTATGTCCATGATACATATGTGTAATCTCCGGGATAACAAACAGCATAAATGGTGAGATTTCATTATTGTAAACACTGTACATGTTGGGCATATTCAGAGATGCCAGGAAGAACATTCACTAGATGCTGATGATGCAACTGGAGGGAATTCTGTTCCTTTTTTATTTCTATACTGCTTGAATTTCTTTTTTTTTTTTTTATACGATGAGCATATTGTAAAAAATACAAAAGTAATTAGAATGTCCTTTCTAACTTTTCATTGTAAATACTATTAATAATCAATTCTGGTGATACTTAACCACCTTAAGAATGAAAAGGCCTTCAGTTTTGTTCACTAAAGATAAACTGCATTGGCACCTGACTTTGATTTTTGTCATCTAGTATTTTGGCAAGTTTTAAAGATGCCTCTTCCCTTTCTTTTTTCTTGCTGACAATAACTGAGCTATGTATTTGAATCTGATGTAATTCCTGGGTAGAGTTTCACCTTGTTATTTGAAATCAGATGAGTGAAACATTTTCTATTTCTTTCCTTTCAAAATATAATAAATTGAGTTTTGCTAATGCAAAACAGGTGGTAGCCACTGGGTGAAAAGAACATTTCTCACATCTGAGCTGAAGAAATAAAAAGGGTTGTTGTTCTTGGCCTCTGTTGCAAGATGGCCTGATGAGCCTTCAAACATGGAGACTGGGGAAGTCCAGCGTGCAGTAGAGAGAATGTACGTTTGCCAGCCAGAAAGGCGTGAATATGTGTCCTGGCACCTCTGTTTACTAGCTCTGAGATCTCGGGCCAGTTACCAAATCACTCCACATTTTACTTTCATTTTTCCAGAAAAAGAGCCCAATTCCTACCTTGAAGGTTATTTTGAGGATTACAGATAAGAGTATGTCAAAATATTTCACACAATGCTGTGTACTACACTGTACTGCAGATGATAATGATGATTTTCATTCATTCAAAACTCTGTTAAGAAATTTTAATGTTACACCTGTTTTGTGCTCCAAACTGACATACACACATGTCCTGGGAGGAATCTGCTCCAAGGCAGTTATTTTTGGGGCCCACAAGACATAGTCCCTGTCCCGGGGCACACACCAGTTTTGCTTTTGCTGCTCAACCCCTCTCTGCACTGCCTCATGATGGACTATGTTTATAGAGTCCTGCCATGTCTCTTTGATTCAAGTTGCTGTGCAGAGCCACAGGCAGCTATGTTTCTTTTCCTCACAGTGGAAAAGAGCCATTATTCATGCTGACAAACATGGTAAAGAGATCTTTTGAATATTATACAGGAAATCATTGACTAACTGCCCACCTCTCAGGAAAAAACACCCATACAGATCACATTCTATATCTCTCCTATCTTAAAGATGAGCTAAATTAATACACCGAGAAGAGACAGATCACATCTGACTACTTTAGAAGCAAGTCTATGCGAAATTGTTCTCAAACCTATGGTTCACATATGGGGCTCTTTGATGAATACCTAAAACTCCTGAGGATATAAATATGTACAAACCCACAAGTCAAACCAACGTTTTTCTATTAGATTCCAGTATTACCAAGCTGCAGGTGGTACCAAAGGTTTAGAAAGCATTAATAGGCTAAAATTTTGCAGCAGAAAAAATTCCACCCATTGACTAAATTCCACCCATTAACTGGGTCTTGAACGCCTGGGCTAGGGACCTCTGTTCTCTAGCACGACGCACTGTTGTAGGTAGACGTCGACACAAAGAGGGCGCAATGAGAATCCTCGTGGATTCTCCCAGCTGACCCAGAGAATGCTGAGCACAGATCTGTAACACCAGTGGGTGTAACTCCAAGGATTCCTAAACACACCAGCTGCTGGACGTCGGCCCCGAACCAGGGAGATTGTAGATTCACACCTGCAGCTTTAGCTGGAGTCTCCTGATCCTTGGCCATGTTACACAGCTAGGAGCCCTGTTGGTCCAGTTCTGTGTTCATTACCTGTGTGCCCCTGGGAGAGCTATTCAACTTCTCAGTCTGCATTTGGAAAATGGGGGATAGTAATAGTACTTAACAATGATTATAACATTTTTAGAATAGAGCCTACCACATAAAAAGTAGTATGGAAGTGTTATGTACCTTTTGAACCTTTTCCATTTATCAAACCTCAAAACCCCCTTATCACACTCAGTATCATTCATAGAGGCAGAATATGGTGGCTCACGCCTGTAATCCCAGAACCTTGGCAGGCCGAGGTGGGCGGATAGGTTGAGGTCAGGAGTTTGACACCAGCTTGGCCAATACAGCGAAACCTTGTCTCTATTGAAAATGCAAAAATTAGCCAGGTGTAGCGGTGCATGTCTGTAGTCCAAGCTACTCAGGAGGCTGAGTGAGGCATGAGAATCGTTTGAATTCAGGAGGCAGAGGCTACAGTGAGCTGAGATGCGCCACTGCACTCCAGCCTGGGTGACAGAGCAAGCCAGCTTACAAAAAAAAAAAAAAAAAAGTTCACTCATAAATTCATTTAAAAAATATGTACTGAGCATCCATCATATGCCTGGCACCATGAGTGGTACTGACTCTGCATCAGGGAGTGGAGACGCCTGGGTCTTGTCTGTGTGCGACTTATCCTACTTCAGGTGGAAAAAGGTGCCATGGGAGGGGAATCGCCTTGACCTCCTGTTGCCCATCTCCCAGTGGGCAACAGGTTTGGATATTTTTCTCTTCCAAACCTCACATTGCAATGTGATCCCCAATGTTGGAGGTGGGGTCTGATGGGAGGGAACTGGGTCATGGGGGAGGGTCCCTCATCAATGGCGTGGTGCCATGGGGAGAACTGCTTGTGGAAAAGGGCCTTGCACTCTCCTCTCTGCTGCCCCACCTTTCACCAGCTTCCCACTGCCTTCTCACATGAATGGAAGCTTTGTGAGGTTCTTACCAGAGAGAGATGCTGACACCATGCTTCTTTGTCCAGCCTGCAGAACTGCAAGCCAAATGAACCTCTTTTCTTTACAAATCACCTAGCCTCAGGTATTCCTCACAGCAACACAAACAGGCAAAGACACTCAGCACCCACGCGGTGGATCCCCTTCCAAGACCAATCTCTCCAGTCACTCTGGAACCTGACTTGTCGGTTTCTTGGGCGTTCTCCCTCTCAGTCCAGAATCCTCAACCTCTCTCCCTGCACTAGCAGCTTCTCAACAGTGCTTAATTGTGCTAAAGTTTCTTTCACGAAAGCAACAAAAACAAAAAACAAAACACCCCTCCTCAATTGTAGAAATGCACTGTCTGGCACTGCCTGGATCCTGGCTTGAACGTACACTTTGAGGGCAACTGGGAACACCTGATTATGCCACTCACTAGATGTCTGGTGACAGTAAGAAATTTCTGTGCCATTTTCTCAGCCCAAGAAGTCCCTATGTTTCAGAGAAGGATACCAAAGTTTTACAGAGGAAATGTGTCTGTGATTTACTTTTGAAAAATTTCTGCAAAAATACAATGACGCAAACATGGCAAAATGTTAATAACTGTTAAATCTAAATGATGGGTATAAGCTACCAACTTTCTGTATGTCTGAACACTTTTATAAAAAAAAGTAAAAAGCAATGCAAATCCTTCTTTGACTCCATGTCTTTCTCCATCTCCGGCCTCTCTCCTGACTGGCTTCTTGGCAGAACTGTCTATGCTTATTTTCTGTTGCTCCGTAACCCTCATCCATTCTATAGCTCATTCTGCTCTGGATTTTAGCTTCCTATCCCTTCAGAGCAACTGTTCCCCCGGGCTCTCAATGACCCTTGAGTGGTTACACCGGACAGATGCTTCTCCGCCTTTCTCTGTGTTGAACCCCTTGAGCACACAGCGCTCTTGTCCAGGGATTCCTCCCTTGGCTTGCGAGATGCCGTGTTCTCCTGGCAGTCCTCCTCCTACTCCGTCCACCTTTCCTGCCCTTTGGCCAATCCTTCTCCTCTGCATGCCCATTATCAGGGCTCTGACCTAGATGTCCTCTTATCTTTTCTTCTTCACCATGTACAGGTTACCTGATCTACACCCGTTGTTTTCCTTTCTGCGTCTCAATAACCCCCAAACTTATGATTCCCAGTCCACGACCTTTCTTTTCAGTTTCACATCCACATACATATAGGATTCATCTAGTTTGTCATGCGGCTTCCTGCCAAATGTACGGCCCATGAAGGTGGCAAGCACTGCTCTTAGCAGG